GAGGAGGTCCTAAAAGCAGCAGAGAGAAAAGGGAATCATCCACAGGGAGCAGCTGACTTGAAATACAAAGGAAACCATGACGGTGGAAAAACAAAATGCTGAGAGAAAACAAGCTAGAACTGTGTCTAGTAAAACTATCAAGAGTAATAGTAAGTGCTGTGGGCTCAGAATTTGCTGAGTAAACTTTAAGCATTCTTACCACACAAAGAACTATGACGTGATGGAAGTTAATTAACTTGTAATAATCATTTCACAAAGTATTCATATGTCAAATCATCACATTGTACACTTGAAACATAAACAATTTTGCCAATTATACTTTAACAAAGCTGAAAAATTTTTAAATACATATATATATATGAATGACAGTGAAATAAATTCTCAGCTGTAATTCACCACATAACCAAAGTAGAAAAACCAGGTTTACCTCAATACAAAAAAAAGTATTTTATAAAATTCAACTCCTATAGTAAAAGCTTAGCAAACTAAGAAGGAAATTTCCTTGCCCTGATTAAGGAGCAAAACCTAGGAGAAGAGTCAATATTGTAGAGCTGTCAATACTCCAGTTAATCTATATGTTAAATGTGATTCTAGTTTCTCTTTAAAAAACCCAAAATTGCTTTTTCCCCAAAGAACTTGACAAACTAATTCTAATATTTAATGAAAGAGCAAAAAACCAAGACTCCTTAAGAAAAATGAGGGAAGACGTGCTCTTCCAGGTTTTCAGACCTTTAAATCAAGTTAACAGCAATTAAAATAATGTCACTTACCCTTGTTAGACAAATTGACCAATGGAATAGAACAGAAAGTCCCCAAATAGATGTTTACTTATGTGGAAAGTAGCCATCTAGAAGAAGTCTCTGAGGAAAGGATGAATTAGTCACTAACTTGGTTATCTATATAGTTAAATTGTTCTTTTCCTATCTCACACTTACACAAAGCAATTCCAGGTAGACTGAAGACTTATATGACTTTCTAACTTTTACTTTTGGTCTCCATATGCTTTATTGAAGAATAACATATAGCTCAATGAGATATCACAAAATAAACACATCTGTATAACCACCACCCATTTCAGAAAAAATAATACATTACAGGCTTACGCAAAAGCCCACTTACTAATTCCTGACCACTGTCCTTTCTCTCTGCTCCCCAAACTGTTTAACCACTCTCCCAACTGTTCTAATAGAGTGATTAGTTTTGCCTGTTTTATAAACTTGGATAAACTGATTCATTCATAACATACTATTTTTATTTCTGGGTTGTTTTGCTCAATATTACATGTGTGAGGTTCCTACATATTTTGTGTAGCAATACTTCATGTTCCTGGTTGCATAGCATTCCAATGCATGACCATACCACAGTGTATTTAACCTTTTTATATTGAGGGAAATTTGAGTTAGTACTATGATTAGTGCACATGTGAATGAATTCTACTGAGTATATACTGAGAAGAATTTCTGGACCACAGGTTCAATTTATGACTTTGACTTTTAGAAGAGACAGTAAGAAATTTCTTAAGACACAAAATTTTAACATTTGAATATGTTAAAATTAACTTACCAAAAAAACATAAAAAGATAAGCCACAAGCCACAAACTGGACAAAGATATACGCAATAAAAATAAATGGAAATATTAGTATACTATTATGAACTCCTAAGTAAATACCAAACAAAGAAAAACAGTAGAAAAATGGACAAAAGGCATCAAAGTAGTTCATAGGAGAAACAGGAATGACTAATAATCATGGAAATATGTTCAATAAGGAAAAAATTAAAGCCACAATAAAGTATCGTTTTATACCTACCAGATTGGCAAGCATTAGGTCTTACAATAGCAAGTAAATGATAAACCATATTGTAAAAGCTGGCACACCATTGGAAAAACTGCATTACTTATAAAACTAATATAGAGCTGACCAGCCACATAAACCTACAACCAAGTCTACTTCTAGGTATATACTCTAAAAAAAACTCTTGCACATGTGTACCAAGAAACTACATGAAATATTAATGTTCACTTTAATACTATAAAAACCAAAAAAAAACCAACTATATGCAACATAAATTAGTTTTACTTGAGCGCCACCTACACTAGCGCCGCCCTCGTCTCCTCCTAGCCACCATCAAGGTCATCTACCGGGGCCTCGTCAGTTATGGTGAGATGTTCTCCTGTATCTGCAAGATCTGAGAAATCAGTGACTCAGCCGGGCTGTGCCTGGAGGTGGAGGGCAAGATGGTCGTTGAGGAAATGCCTCCACTGAAGGCCCCGAGGGTGAAGGTACCGAAAGCACAGTCATCGCTCATGTTGATACTGTCATCAACCATCACTTGCAGGAAACCAGCTTCACAAAAGCCTGCAAGGAGTGTATAAAGATGACATGTAATCAAGCAAAGGGAAACCTGAACAGAGACCAGCAAGAGTAAAACCTTCTTTCATGACAGGGCAGAACCAACCCAGCACACCCTTGCTAATTTCTAGACTACCAGCTCTGCACTGGTGACACAAGTCCAGATGGCACGCTTGCTCTGCTGGACCACGTGAGGATGGTGTGACCCACATATGATTTCCTGTAGGGACACTTCAGAAGTGGAAAAGTGTTAACAACCTGGCAATTTGATCTATCACCTGACATCATAACTGGCTGCTGCTTTTCATCCACACACCGGGACTAGACAAATGGGACTGATGGTATCTGGAGCTCTTCATTTATTTTGACCTTGATTTATTTGGAGTGGAGGCATTGTTTTTAAAAAAAACATGCCATGTAGGTTGTCTAAAAATAAAATCATATAAACTCATTTGAGAGAATGTCTTAGTTTAATACATTATTTAAAAGCAACCTGTATAGTGTTCCTGGAGAAACTAGAGCCTGGTTATACACCACTCTAAAGCATAAGACTGTCTTCAGGTAACTTCTACCATGAAAACTATTTCAGGGGCTGGAATATAAAAAAACAAGGACCAAGAGTCTGAATTGAGTTGAAGTAGAGAAAGAGCATGCTCACAGCAGAGCCAACACTTGAACTGGACTCCTTAGACATTTCATCACCCACAAATAGAAGTAGCTGACTGGAAGAGATTACCAAAAACATACAGAGAATACAGTTGGGGAAAAAATTACAAAAATGAATCTGTTGAATGAAAAGATCAAATTACGTAAACTATATACCAGTATGATACTCTTTCTTATAAAGCTCACCAACAAAAGTAAACAATATGTAGCTTAGGGATCTGTACACAAAAACAAAGAAAAAAGCAAGGAATGATTGACTCAGGATACTTACCTCTTGCAGACAAGGTAGGCTGGGAATTGAAATTGAGAAGGAACATTTAATGTAGAGTCAGTCTTACCAGGAATGTCCTAGTTCTCACTTAGGGAGCAGGTACATAGGTGTTTTATTGAGTATACTCAATAACTTCCACTTTGCATATATTTTTATATATGTACCACATACTACATACAGAAAGATAGTGACCAGCGGCTACCAGTGACAGATGTAGGGAGTGGGTGAAATGGGTGAAGGAAGTAAAGGTAAAACTTCGTTATAAAATAAGTCCTGGGGATGTTATGTATAGCGTTGGGACTATAGTTAATAATACTGTATTATATATTATATATTTGAAAGTTGCTATGGGTGGTGATGGACATTTAATTAGACTTACTGCAGTGATCACAAAATGCACATATATCAAATCATTATGTTGTACACCTGAAACTAATATTTATATGTCAATTATATCTTAATAAAAAAAAAGTGACAAAAAAGGAAATATAGTGACCAGAAATACTTTTATACTGCCAAGAAGAGACTTTGAAAAAGAAAATCCCTTAAATATATATATACTATCTTGTGAAAAAGGAGGTAGTTGGTTAGGTGGAACAGTGAAAATTTTCAGTCATAAAAAACACTAGTTAACCACTGATTTGTTGTGGATCTTGGGCTACTTAACATCTTTGAATCTGTTTTTTAACTGTAATATGCAGAATTATAGAGATTAAAATATTATTTAAAATGTTATAAAATGACTGGGTACAGACTACACATTTTAAAAAGTATACTTATTAATGCTCCCCATGACTGACTATTCAAATATAAGAAATCCCTTATACTCTAAAGAGTTTGTTCAGGTAGACTGAATTTAGCCTCAACCATTCAGATAATGGCAGAGTGATTTGTTAAAATAGCAACAAAAACCACCATAATTTTTGCATTCAAATAAGGTTTCCCCTCAAAGAAGCTCCATACTTCCTTCACTGAAGTTGCTATTGTTCAGGACAGTATTAGTAATCTTCCTCTAAAACTGCTTGCTTCTGGAGAAATTTTTTCCCAGGGGAGGAAAACATTCTTTGAGGATAGACTTCACCTGTGATGAGCATAAAATATTTCGAATCAAGTCCGATGAATAAAGCACATGGAGCCATAATCAAGTTAAGACCCTGCTCAAAATTAACATATGACTCTCATGAGGCCAGTTCTCTTAGATGACTTACAAATGGATTCTTTGGGCTATTTTTTCAAAGAGAAGTTTCAGAAATGTTTTTAGCAATGGCACATAGCTAAAAACCAAAAAACCCCAAAATTACAGCTTCACAAGGTTACTACTTGGAAGGGCAATATTATCTTAGTGCATAAAGAATCTCACTTCTATATAGTACATGTCTGCAACTGCTGAAGAGACAATTGCTTAATCAGTCACTGAACAGTTAGTGAAACTACTTACATCAGTTACCTTTAACTTTTTTAAGGGTAACAAAAATCTTCCTATTTCCAGTTCAACCGAAAGATCCTTTTTATAAGAAAAGTATTATAGCCAACCTACTAAATTGACTTGTATTTGAGATGGAGAACAATTACATCATCTTGATAAGGTTCTATAAATGGAATCAAACAATGAGAAGCAAAGTTATATTGACCGTTCAGAAAGAAGTTCCTATTTCTAATATATGCATGCAATATATTTAATCAATAAATAGCACTGATATGAACCCAACTCTTTGATCTCAGTACTTGATAGTGTATATGATAATTTATTATTTTGATTTGCTCTGGAGTATTACCACACAAATATACATACAATTTTAAGAAAAAGAGACAGAGCCAACAACATCCCCAATAATAATTCTTTAAAAGTCTGATATGAGAAACCACAGAAAACATTCTTAACTGATAAGACATGAATTAGATTCCAAATGCATTCTCTACCATATAACACACGGAGAAAAAAGGAACAAAAATGTTTTTCATGTTTACCATTTGCAAGAGCAGTTTATGCAACTTCAACAATCTCTTAACTGGCATTTAACAGCATTTTAAGTTCAAAATACATTTGGGAATTAAAACAATGAATAATACTCCTTAGAAGGAATACAAAATTTATTCAAATATTTAAAAAATAATTAGTAACACAGAATATAGTGAAATTAGTCAAAAACAGTATCAAGTAATTTGTTCTTAAAGTGGCAGTGCAATACAGTAAAGCAGTGGCTTTAGTGACTAATGGGAGACTCACACAAAAGCACCTAGAAATATATCTTGAAAAAATAATATGCAAATTTTCACTTTTTCTTTTTCCCATTTACAATTTCAAAATTTAGCTCTACTTTATATCACTTTTTGGTAGGCGCTATTAACATCTGAGGTTAAAGTAACAGGCCTCACAATTAAGGAGCCATCTCTGAATATTTCATCTCTTTACACTTATGAACATAATCATCGTTCAACTGCATGATTCCTTTGGCCTGATTCTCATTTCATATCTCAAAGAATGTGTTTTTAATAAAGAGACTGTGCATACTGATTCCACTATTTGTCTTTTCATGCCACCGTCAGGTCCCTCGAGGCTATGCTGACTACCCGCACACAATGTAACCGCCAGCCACATGTCCTGTTTGCTTCACCTGCCTTCTCTTATGAGCAGTTCCTATTTTATGGGTGCCTGGGATACCAACTTAGCATGTTAGATGACTAGTGTATAATAAAAACGAGAATTGGAAATGTAACAACTTTATGTTCCTATACTCTATACACATGACAAAGGCAGAAATGTTAAAGAAAAAGACATTTTAAATTATCTTAGAAATAAGATCAAAAGCCCCTTCACCACAAAATAAACAGCAGACTACTGGCCATACCTAGACAAGCACTGTGATACAAGAACAGCATTAGATATGAAAAGTACACAGTTGAAGCCAGGTTTTGAGACTTAGTCTCTACATCCAGCCAGCTGTAGCCAGTTTAGAAAGTGCTGTAGAGTTAAATGCTTTCGGGATTGACTGAAATATGGTTTTAGTTATATATGAGACCACTGGTTCAGATCCAGCTGTGACAAAGGAACTCACTTACAGGTTGATAGCAAAAAATGGCATAATTTGGGAACTTTTAAATCTGCTTCATGAAAGACCTTTTTCTGCCAGCCTGAGCCTTCTTACAATTTTTTCTTTTTGGGGGGATGGTCCACTATACCCAATTATGCACTGGCTTTTGTAATGAGGCTTTTTGACCTACTGCACTGACAAGCCCACGCTGCCATTTAATGAAGACCACAGAGTGACTAGGCAATGAACTTCAGGTGGGCTTAGTGTTCTTCCTTGTGAACCAGATGACTGACCAGCAGCAAATTATACTAAATTCTAAGGCATGACTAAAGGAAAATTTAGGAAGACCAAAGGAAAATTTAGGAAGACCTAGAAAAGAGGTGCCAAACTACATTGCAAATACAAGATATTCCTCATAAATATGTATAAAAATATATGCATATGATGGAATAGGCCATTTTATAATGCTGGTTAAAACCATGAAGAGCTATTAAATCAGTAGGTGTGTGATTTAAATCCTGGCTTCAAATTAATGTACAGAAATATTTTCAATTCAAGTTAAATAAATATACTGAAGGGAATTAAATAAAATGGGGAAAAAGTAGTTTAAATCTTTCTCTTGTTTCTACCAATAGTGTCTTTTACTGGTAGTGATGGATGTGAACTAATCAGTTAACTAGAGTCTATATAAGATTTATGTAAAAATGCATTCATTTTCATTCATAATAAATTAACCCAGATTCTGTACAGTTAGAAACACCAGAATGGTGGCAAGTAGCAAAATAGGAAGTTCAAAATCAAGTAATTAAATCAAAAAAAGAGTGTCGAACACATTTTCAGGCTCCCCTCATTAAGGAGTCACATAATCAGTGCCGTTCTTTCTCAAGGTCTCTTGACTGGGCACTAGAATAACATCAGCCCTAAAGCCTTCCTCTAATATTTACACTGGTTCAATTTTTGATTATGAAAAAATTCCTTTGTTGTATAAGATGAAAAGATAAAAGTGTACATTCGTTCAGATGGATAGTTCAGCTAGGTCTTTGGTGTCCTAACAATTCAAACTGAAATTAAGACCTCATAACACTCCTATAAGCTTTGAGCCAAGTGGCATGCAGAGACATCAAACATTTGTTTCTATTTCTGTCAATATCCAAGAAATTGAAAAATCAACACCTAGAAAAAAGCAAGACATAAATTCATCAGCACTAAGCAGAACTGATCTTCAAAAAGAGGTCTCTTCTATATCCTGGTGTTGATGAATATATTGTAATCTCCCCTCTAGGAAAAATCCACTGCCTAAGGTTAACACCTTTAGGCACACACACACGCACAAAGTAAAACTCAGCAAGTGACTGTTTTACATTTTGATTCATCCACAATCTTTTAAATGGCAATTTCAACATTTGGCACTACTTTAAACATTTTTCAGAGACGGTATGGTTCCAGGTTCAAATGTCCTCCTTCCCTACTCAATTATTTGCTAAAGTGGGAAGTATAAAATTTAACTTTATTACTAATAATTCTTTATCTACTATTCCAAAAGTTGCACTTAGTCACAATACAACAAGTTTACATTTAAATAAGACTCTATAATAGTCGTTAAAACTGTTCATACAAAATCCTGGTCTTCTTTCTTGACTATCAGAGATGACTAAATTGTCGATGGCTGGAACTCAGATCACATACAGTCAACCACATTATTGGGTCCATGACCTACATCTCGAATTTGGCTAGTTAAACAGGCACACACAGCTACGCCTGCTCCAGCTCTGCAGTGAGACACAGATCCAACAAGCTCCCACCTGAAAAGATAGAGGAGAGAGAATGTTATCTTAAAACAAAGCATGATTTACTTTACTCAAAGTACCAACGAAGATAAAAACTGCCTATTATGGGACTGGTTTTGAAAGACACCAAGCTTCCTAAGGGTGGTAAGATATCCTAAATGTTTTATATTAATCTACATCTAGCAGCAGTTTAGCACCAGTTACTGAAAGATCCCATTAAGTCAGAGAGAAAACGAAAATTACCTGTTCAGCACTGGATCAAATGCTTCTACTGTATTTAGGTATGCATTGCCATTATGACCACCAACTGCAAAGATTTTGCCCATCACTGTTGCGATCCCCACTCCACCCCTGGGAGTGGTAAGTGCTGCTACATAATCCCACTTGTTGCTTCGAGGGTCATACCGCTCAACTGAACTTAGAGGAGAATTATCATCAAAACCACCTATATGGAGAAAAAAATTTAAAAAGCATTACATTTCATAGACATTAACTGCTAAGTCTCAATTCAATAGCTTCTACAAACTCAATCTTTTAAAAACATTTTAGGAAACAGAAAATAAGAAAAATTCATCTCAACACCTATCGCCACTACATCTCCTATTAGACATTTTCTATAATTCACAGTAACTGAAATAGTATTTTACCTCAATACTAGGAGTAAAAATCTTAAAGTAGGAAAAACTGGAGTCTCTGTATCTAAGCAGATAACTTAAGACAAAAAAAACAACAGGCCTTCATATAATTTTCCCTTAGCTTCCTAGGGGCAAGCAAGACAGCACCGAGATTCCCCTCTGTGTGTACATGTGTAAATTATATTTTTAAACAGTAACAGGGCTTGAGAAGAGAATAAACTACACTGTCATTTGACTCATTCAGATATGTTAGTTTTCTGTTTCCCTTAATACTATAATTGCCATCATAATTAGGGGTGATAAGCTGACTGAATTCTTACCAGTTTTTGCCAAAACTATATCTTCATGCAACATGCTCTCGGTGATGACCGTCCTCTCTATAAATCATTCTAACAATGTTACTTTAATATTCCTGAGGGTTAGACAGAGACTGTTATTTCAACAGTGCCCTTTCCTTTAAAAATAAATGTATCTCTCTTTATGCTCCAGCTCAGTCTCCATGAGTAATAGTTCTCTTTGGTGACTAAATCTATTCTTGTAAGGACAGGAAGTGTTGATACTATGATTAGTCTATTTAGAAACAAGGTCGGTAAAAATAATATCAACAGAATCAATGTCTCTAATGGGTTTAACTTGATTTAATCAATGCAACTGAGGCAAAATTCACGGATTTTACATGCATAACTTGATGAATTTAAACAAATGTATACAGTACTGTCATCACAACCATGATAAAAACCATTTTTTTCTTTATAATAAAGGGTTTAGTTTTAATTACTGCTCATGCTAATGTAGAGGATTACATTTTTAATAGTTATATTTTTTATAGCCCTCCTTTGTACTAGCTCCCTATCATTTCCTTAGGCAATGCTTATAAATTTATAAGAAAGAATTCAAAACAGAGGAAAAGAGGGTGCAACTAGCGTATGATATATGTGCATACAGTTATCTCCAAAGCTTTCTTATTCAAATCATACCTTTTTAAAGTAGGATATGAAGACTAAGAGGGGATTTTTTAATGGTCAGTCAGTCTTCTTTTTACCATACCTCTTCTAACTATAGGTTAGATTTAAAAGTAACAGCAACAATGATACTCTATTGACATAACATATATCAATGCCTATGCTGGACAGGAAGCTGTGAGAGAGAGCAACAGTGTACTGTAAACTCTGGTTTCTCATAGACCAGAGTTCAAGTTCCAGCTTTGTCACTTGTTTAGGCTTGTGACTATGAGTAAATTATTCACCCTCTCTGAGTTTGACTACTTTATAGAACTGCTGTGATCAGGCAAGATCTAAAGGTAAATTATGTTATTTCTCTTCCTCTTTAATACATGTAAGCACTAGAAGATTCAGCATTACTTCTATTACTTGCAGATATTTAAACACTAACAGTATCTCCCTCTCTCATCAAAAACTCTAAGTTATGTAACACCAAACATTTTACATCAACATAAGTATGACACGTGCTACTGACCTCTCTGAACTCATTTCTTCCTCTGCAGAGGAAGGGATTACTAATCCCAATGCAGCTACTTATTTATTGGGTAACTACAAAATACCAGATGCAGTGTGAGATGCTTAACATATATTATCTCTAATTCTTAAAACAATTCTGAAAGATAGGCATTATTACTCTCATCTCTTGGTCGTTTTAAAGCCTTATAACTGGAAGTGGGTGGACCAGAAGCAGCATCAATTATCTCCTGGGAACTGTTAGAAACACATAATCTGGGCTCCTCCTGTGCAGCCTGACAGTATCGCCATCTTACTCACTTGCATACAAAAGTTTGAGAAAGCACTGCCCTATGGTTCCTTCCAATTCTTCAATTCACTAAGTCAAAGAGCAATATAAAGATGCCCAATACCCATTATGCATATGAAATACCTATTGGTTTGTTTCAAGTAGTCAACATAATTCCCTTGAGAAAAACACGTCTTTGATCTTTAAAAATTTTAGCAAAGCAGATTCAATTTGTGACCTTAGATTAAAAATATTTATCTCATTTAAACGTAATCCCTTACTTTAGATACACTTGCTACCCCGAGAAATAATATGGAGGTAGAAGTTTTAACCATGAAAGAGGAAGATGTAAACAAAAAAGCATGAATGTGAACCCTAAGAATTCGAAAGCAAACCTTAGGACTGATTCCACGTGAACCTAAGTGAAAGTAATTTGTGTGATTGTGGTGTTTTATAACACTGTCACTGTACGTCCTGTAATAAATTAGACCAGAGAAAAATCATCCACTCACCAACAACGTATAAGCAACCATGGAGCTCACTAACTCCATTGCCTGCTCTTCGCTGACCCATCTCTTTAATTTCTATCCACTTGTCCAGATGTGGATCATACCTCTCCACACTAGATAAAGAAGCTACTCCATCATTGCCACCTACTGCATAAACATGGTTCTAAGTAAAGAGAAAATAAAAACGTATCATATTAGATTTTGAATTGATTTATATATTATCCTAATGGTAAATCAGAATCTTGAAAGCAAGCAGCATTTCGTGAAATAATAGGGCATATAATCAATATGTGCATACTGGAGATATGAATATCCCAGATCTTTCCTTATTTGGTTAGGGCTGTGACACAATGCAGTCCAATGAGCAAATTGCCATATAACTTACCACCAGAGCCACAGAGCCAACTCCTCCACGGGGAGTAATCATTGATGCCACTGTACTCCACTGATCACACTCTATGTCATATCTCTCCACATAGTTGAAGCAAGTGTTGTCATCTAACCCTCCAATTGCATAAATTGGGCCTCCTAAGGAGGCCAAGGCAATTCCTCGCCTGCAGAGAGAATAAAACTTTAGCATCTGGATTTGTTTTCAGAAAACAGGTAGCAAAAAAAATAATTGTGCTAATGCAAGTCATACATCATGTTAAACTTCAATGTGTTTTTCCCCCATTACATTTAGATTTATCCAAGCTTCAGAATTAGATGGCTACAGGGTTGCCAAACGTGCAAGTATGTGTGAACAGTGCCCTCTGGAGTTTGTGCATAGCTTACACAGGTTAATAAAGTAAAACCCAACAAATACTATAAATAGAGTCAAAAACATTCAGTTAGTGAAACACAGCTGCATAACTGAGAAATTGATGAATTGACAGATTGTTTACTATGGAAGTCAGAAGTCAACATCACTTCTAAATTCATATGTAATCTGCAGAGCATGCTTTGTTGCAGGGTTTCATTATATCACATAAAAGAACATCAATTTTTATATTACAAATTTTATATCAAATTGCTTTACTTATGTAGGGCATTTATATCTCTTCTTGGAAAGGAAGAGACTTAGCTCATGTTAAAAGCCAATTCACTATAATGATAATCAAAAAAAGATTATATAAATTTCTTGAAGGGGAACACTTGGAAAAAACCTGAGTGGTCTGTAGGAGCTGAGAGTAAGCCCTGGCCAACAGCCAGTAAAAATGAGAAACCCAGTCCTACAATCACAAGGAACAGAATTCTGTCAATAACCTAAATGACCTTGGAAGGAGTTTCTTCCCCAGACCCTCCAGATAAAGAGCCTAGCCCAGGCTACACCTTGATTTTGGGCTTGTGAGATCCTAAGTGGAAACCTCAGTCAAACCTGCTGGACATCTGAACCGTGGAACTGTGAGCCAATAAATGAATGCGGTTTTATGCTGCTAACTTTAGAAGACTAATAAACCCATCACAAGACAAACAAAAATTTCGTTCTGTTCACTGTCTTGTTCTGCCTAATGCAGAAAATCACATCACTATACGTATCAGATGCTTAAGCCAGGAACTGAAGGACCATCCTTGCCTCCGCCTTAGTGGTCTTTCTAGCTCCCACCAAATTCATCATTAAATCCTGACAGTACACTTGTGAACTCTCTCTCAAATATGTGCTCTTTTCTCTACCCCAACTTCTACTACTTTAGTCCAAGGCACCATTCTTTCTTGGCTGAAATATTACAATAATCCTTTTGGTCTCCCAGACAGTTTTCACTCTGGTCCTTCTCAACTTTCTTCCCCATTTCATATGCAGAGGATCTTAGAAATGAGAAATGTGAATCTATCATTCCCCTGCTATTAAAAGCACATGTGTGTATTTCAAAGCCCACTAGATAAAGTAAATCCCAGCAAACCTGAAATGCCCCCAATCTTTGCCTACTGTTTCAGTCTTATTTCCTGACACGACTCCCTTTGATCTCTCACCCATACTTGACGTCTTTCATGCTCTCAGCTCTCCTTCACCTCCAGATTTTCAAAGATTCTTCATCTCTTTCCACCCACCATACTTAACTAAATTATTCTATCCCTTCAGATTTTAGGTCAAACAGGACTTCATTAAGATCTTTTCCACTCGCCAGCACTTTTACTTACCCTGTGCTCACATTACCACTACCCTTGTAGTCATGTCTTTATTTGTATATTCCCTTCTAGAATGTAAGCTCTATGAAGTAGGGACATTGGCTAATTTATTACTGTATCTTCAACACTTGGTGTGTCTAGCAGTGGTCACTTAACTGGTGTTTATTGAATAAATAAATCAACCCCTAGAGATGCTCTGTTAGGATGAGGGGTCTCAATAAAACTACAGATTAAATAAACACCAGTGTCCATCATAGTGGAAAGATGAAAAAGAAAGGGGGAAAAGTAAAGAAAACCAGATATTTTCCATGTGAATATGACTGTAAAATGCATACTGAAAAAATTATTTGGGGGAATGCACATTATAAGCAAATAATATGACAAAATAACTGCAGTTCTATTATTTTTTATATAGTTGATAGTTATTGTAAAGTGCTCAGGGCATATTTTAAAAGATTAAAGAAATTCAACTGCTATTTTGCTAGAAGTTTCACTCAATTCTTGGCTAAAAACTAGAAAACTCCCTCATTTTAATTAATGAACTACAATCTAAACTATTTATCTGTAGTTACCATGTAGCATAAATCAAACTATTAAAGTATTAAAATGTCACTTGTAGATAAGTGGGAGGTAATAGCATATTTTAAGGTCAGCTTTTTCCCCTAAGATTTTTTTGTCCTCATGAGAAAGTAATTATGCACCATAATTTCTTTCACATTATAAACATGTATTAATTACTATGCTAACAGTTTATGTTCATTGTAAAACATCCACTCAGAATAAATTTAAAAGGATTAAATAAAATGTACAGAGAGTGAAAAATCTTTTTAGAAGAACTCTTTTCACAGTTCCATCTGATCTTTCATATTTATAACACACGAAGAAAACTCAGTTTTTTAAAACTCTTAAGAGTTAAATTGATAGAGAATAGAAAATTAGATGGCAATGTATCCCACGTACAATTCAACTTAAAACTGCTTATTTGGGTAACAAGTAATTTTTAACTTTTACAGAATGTTGCTAAAGCTTACAAACCATACAAGCCATAATGTTTGAAGTTAGGTTTTGTTTGTTTGGGTTGGTTTGTTTTTTAAAATAAAATTGCAATAGAGATGTTTTGATTTTCTTTCTCTACACAAAGCTACTCTTAAGCAGTATTTTGAATACTTATTCAAAGAGCCCCCTTTTTTTCCTTTATCACATTTTCACTCTGAAACAAAGAGGCAGAATTATTGTAATATCCATAATAATTATGTAAATTATTAAGCTCAGTCTTTGAAATCCTCACCCTATTTGCTCAATTTTAAATTTAAAAAAGAAAAAGAATAGGTAATCTAATTTAATCTTCCATTTGGTGCAAACATATATGTTCCCTTTATGACATATAAATATATAATTCCATCATTGGGAGGCATTAGAGTACGCTCCATTAGTATTATATTGAACTATAAATAAATATTTATTCCTTCCGTCTAAAGCATCATACATCTCTTTCAACATCTTGATATTCTCTTAAGTGCTCACGTCTCCAGACCAAAACCCTTCAACAATTTTTTATATGGCACGGATTTCAGATCTCTTACTACTTCCTAGTCTGTACTTAGATGCAGCCCACATTTACAACAATTTTTGTGCACCCCTATGCACCATAATTACTTTCAAATTATAAACATGTATTAATTACTATGCTAACAGTTTATGTTCATTATAAAACATCCACTCAGAATAAATTTAAAAGGATTAAATAAAAATGCACAGAGAGTCTCATTTTTTATTCCTACAGGGCATATCCCACTTTGAGATGACAGCTATAGATATGGACAGATCAGCATACAGAACAGAACTACAATATCCCTTGATCTAAAGACTTCAATTCTCTAAAAAAAATCAATAGAAAAAATATCCTTGAGTGAGGGCTAACAAACAAACAACAACAAAAGATTAAAGGCTTCAATTCTATTAATGTAGACAACTATTTTATATTAGCTTTTTTTTTTTTTTTTTAAGAGCTGCGCTTTATTTTGGTTCAGGTACTTTTCCCATGTGAAGCGTAATCACAAACCTGACTTCCCACTATGTTGTATTGTGTAATTGATTTTTAAAAAATGCATCATGCAGGTTTTACCTATAACTCTAATTTTAGTATTTTTAGGTTTTGCCTCTAGATCTAGAGTAGGTGTGGTCTACTACGATTTTGAATCCTGATTTTATCACATGTTAGCTATCCTTCTACTTTAGAATATCTAAAAATTGGGTATTCGAGTCATTTAAAAAATTCTGAACAGGCTAGTAAACATTTACTAAGTCATGTTACTAAAAACCTTCCTCCCCTTTAGACTGATCTATTTATCAACATATATTTCAATTTACTGTAGATGAAGATTATAAATATTAATACTCATAGTGATTAAAAATAATGAATAGAAATTGTGGGATATTTTCTTATCATGTTAAAATACGTATCTCTTAGTCCTAAAGCCATTATCTTAATAGGGAAACACTAGAGACATTTCCATTAAAATAAGGAACAAGGCAAAAACACCTATCTTTGTTACTATTCACATTATATTAGATTATTAGCCAATACAATTAGAAAAGAAAAACCAATCAGAAGACTAAGAATGTGTGGGAAAACTGGCAAAAGTTGAATAAGGTCTACAGATTAATTAATAGTTTTGCACTGATGTTAATTTCCTGGTTTCAATCACTGTACTATGATGGTGTAAGATGTCAACATTATGGGATCTGGGTGAAGGGTACACAGCAGGATTTCTCTGTCTCCTCACTCCTGACACTTGGGGCCAGATTGCCTGTGCTGTGGGAGACTTTTCTGTGTGTTACAGGGTCTTTAGTGGCATCCTTGGCCTCTTCCCAATGAGATGCCAGCCCCAACTTCTCCAAGGTCCCTACCCCCAACCCAAGCTGTGACAACCAAAAATGCCCCCAGATATTACCAAGTGTTTCACAGAGGGAGCAAAATCACCTCCAGTTGAGAATCATGGGTACCAGAAATTCCACTATTTTTGCAATTTTTCCAAGTCTAAAATTATTTCAAAATAAAAAGTTTTGTTTTTTTTAAAAAAAATCAATGCTCAGGTGTAAGTGAAAACTATAGACTTTATCATTATCACACTCTAATATACGATTCCATTTTTAATTCTCAAGAAAATATTTTTAAAGCATCACATTGGATACTTTTAACAAAATCTGTTTAAGAAGATACTTAAAGGTTATAAAAATGTAAAAAGTAAAAAATTAGCCCTTTGGATCATAGGAAGCTTTCTTTATTTTCTATCAACAAATCAAAATAAATTTCTGTGCTCATTTACCTCTTTGTGTTCATTGATGCCTTCATCATCCATTTATTGGTGAGAGGGTCAAACATCTCCATGCTACCTAAATGTTCATTTCCATCATGTCCACCCACGGCATACACTTTACCTGTCGAGCAGAGAAGTATTTTCATTTGATTCCAAGTAAACTGACAGTTGCTTAAATATATAGTCAACATATAATTAGGACAGCATAATAATTTTCAACAAGTATTCTTCTGTTCAACATTATGATCACGTAACTTCCATAGCCAAATGGAAATAAACATCAGCTTTTACTTAATAAAATGTCTGGAATGTGCTGTTCTACATGAAGTTATTTAAACACTAAACACTATCCCTCCCTTAGGTTTCCCAACTTTTTATTACTTAGTAGATGAGATCACTAATCATGCTTTCAAAGAATGTTTTGTAAAATGAAAAAAATGCTGTGTTACATAAAGAAAATGTAAAATTTAACACAATATGATCAAACTTATTCTAAATAAATAAAAACACACAAAAAATTGGAAAGATTACATATCAAAATGTTAACTGTAACAATTTTGGGGTGTTTGAGTTACAGGTGGTTTTTACTAAAATGTTTTCATATTTTCCAAAAGAAGCATTTATGTTTATAATCAGAATAAAAGTGATTTTTTAAAAGTCTCCTAACAATTTATCCATGATTTTCTGCAATTAATCATTTTCAGTAACCAGTAAAAAAAGGTCTCATTTCAATAATTAGATGGGTATAGAAAAAAGCTGGTATATATTTATTATTTGGGTTCAATAAACATTTTTCTTTAGTTTAATTCTTTTGAAAATATAACTCACAATAGTCTATTTTAACTCCGTTTTCCCTGAACTCATCTCCTACAAAGCCACCATATGCAAGAGATTGTACACTGAGCATCACTGGGCATCAAAGTAAATAATCACCACCCAAATATTTTATTGATATACTGAAGCACACTTTATCACTTAGCAATTTTCTTATAGAAAGAATTCTCAAAGTTCAAATATTTTAAAAGGCCACTATGATCACATGATGTGACTTAAAACAACAGTGAACCCACCTTCGACAGAGATTACACCCACATGTCGCCTTCGACTATTCATTTCTGGTCCAAAGAACCAACTGTTCTTGTTGATAGAGTAGCATTCAATACTGCGAAAAGGGTCACCAGATCCACCTCGACCACCCACACAAAACAGCACACCTAAAGGCAAAGCCACAAAACACAGGTCAAAATCATTTCCCTAATTTTTAAAAAATTAATATGGAAAAAATATTTAGGAAGTTAAAATTTTGATTAATGGCAAAGGAAATGAGTTATTTGGGTACCAATGTTACTACATTACTAGAAACTGAATTCTTTTTCGTTTTCCCTCATTTGAATTTCTCAAAGAATAGGATACATTAGCTACCTCTACTTCCTAACATCCCAATACAATAGTTTAGATCCTCACCCACTATGTAAATTTGCTCTTGCTAAGGTCATAACAAGATCCAGGGAACTCTGAAGTTAATTTCTTACTGAACACAACGGCAACATTTGATCACTCTGATTTTTAAGAAACTCCTTAACTCTCTTGGTTTCCTTAATATCGAAGTCTCCTTTTGTGTCTGATCATGTCTCTCTTTCCTATGTTTTCCATGTTTCATCCTTAGCCTACTTCTTACATACTTCATGCTCATACATGAAGTTTATTCCTTTATTTTAAATTCCATCTGTATGATAGTGCCTTCCAACTTATATTTCTAAGTCACATTTCCACTTGATGTCCTATAAGCATCCAAACCCAGCGTGTTCAAAAGGGTCTCCCTTCCTCACCTACCTTATCTTCTTCCTTCCCTGAGGTGTCCCTTCCTCCCCCTTGCTATTCCCACTGCCACTGTCCTGGTCCAGGCCCTCATCAGCTGTTACCCAACTACTGCAAAATCCTGTCCTCTCTTATCACTTCATAGCCTTTTTCATATCAGACTGCCATTGGAGCAATCTAATTAAAAGGTTCTTTCAACAACTTTTCATTACCTACATCAGCAGTTTATTTTTTTAATCCTCACCTGAGGATATTTTTTCCATTGCCTTTTCAGAAAGGGAGGGGGGAGAAGGGAGGGGGGGAGAGAGAAACATCGATGTGAGAGAGACACATCAATTGATTGCCTCCTGCACTTGGCCAGGGCCAGGGATCATGCCTGCAACTGAGGTATGAGACTTTGGCTGCAACTGAACCCGGAACCCTTCAGTCCGAAAACCAACACTCTAACCACTGAACCAAACTGGTTAGGGCAGTAGTTTATAATGTTTGCAATGCGTGTAAATTGTACATTTAAAAATGGCAATTTTAATGTTATACAGGCATAACTCCAAGATATTGCGGGTCTAGTTCCAGACCACCACAACAAAGCCAGTATCACAATAAAGCCAATCACATGAATTTTGTTTCCCAATGCATAGAAAAGTTACGTTTACATAGTACTGTAGTCTATTAAGTGTGCAATAGCATTATGCCTAAAAAATGCACACAACTAAATTTAAAAATACTTTACTGCTAAAAATGCTATCATTGGAGCCTTCAGCAAGTCATAATTTTTTTTCTGGTGGAGGGTCTTACCTTAATTTTGAGAGGGAAAAAAAGCAATATCAGAGAAGCACAATAAAATGGGGTGTGCCTATATATATTTTACCACCATTAACAAGAAACCGAAATTTTAGTGTGGTCCAGAATCACCCCAAAGGCATAAAACACTGATTGTGGCCTGATCCCCGGAGCTTCTGATTCAGCAGGTTTGTGGTAGGTCCAAGATTGTATTTCTAAGAAGTTCTCAAGTGAATGCTGACGCTACTGGTCCAGGGCCAACACTTCCTTCACACAGAATCGCTGCCCTGCAAGATAAAGCCCTCGCATAGCATAAAGGCTTGCAGGGTCCACCTGATCATCTCCTTTTCTTTCTCTTAAAAACTTCAAGCTCCTGCAATAGGCATGTAGTTTGTGTTCATCCTTGATGTTCTGATAGCAACTTTTTGGTAACTATCATTCACTTAATATACAGTATTGAAATGATGTATTATGCTGATATTTGTCACCAGAAGCTAAGCTAGGTTAAGACTGTGTACTAAGTATTTATACACTAATGAGGACTAGCACAGTGCCTGGCATGTACTAGGTTTTCAGTAAATGTAACATGAACAGAATACCCCTTTCCCTAACTGGCACCCAGAAACACACCTATTTATTATTGTAAACTAAGACTGAGGTTTACTTTATAAAACCTTTTCTGACCCTTGCAAGGTAAAAATGACCACTATTTTCTTTGTGCTTCCCACTATATGTTATGATTGTATCCAAGTATTTGTAATACTTTATATTTATTTATTTATAGGTCTGGTTCCCTAGATCAGACTGCAAGTTCTATCAAGACAGGGCTGGCTATTTGTGTTTGCATTTCTAATGCTTAACCTAGAAGCCAGCACATGTAGACACTTAATAAATGTTGCTGAATGATTGCATAAATGAATGACCAGTACTGCTTGTGCTATCTTCTCCAACTAATTCAATATTTTAAGTCAGAGAAATTTAAAGTTGAAAGAGACTTTAAAAATCACACAGTCAAAATAGTTTATAAATAAATCGAGGCCTTCAGAGATTAAGAAAACTGCCCAGCCTTGTTCGGTGTGGCTCAGTTGACTGAGCATCATCCTGTACCCCACAAGGCTGCTCGGGTTCAATTTCCAGTCAGGGCACATACCCAAGTTGCGGGTTTGATCGGGGTGCACACAGAAGGCGAGCGATCAATGTTCCTCTCTCACACCAATGTTTCTCTATCTCCTTTCCTCTCTCTAAACTCAATAAAAAAATATTTTTAAAAAATAAATCTGCCCAAACTACAGGTGTTTAATGGCACTGCATGGAATTATAATCCCAGAAAGTCAACCCAACAATTGATATTTTCTTTAAATGGAAATCAGTATTTCAGCTACATAGGTCACCTAGGAATATGACATGGAAGAAAACTAAGAATGAAGCAAAAAGATCAGGATGCAGATCTTCTCTCTGCTATTTCTCTGTGTGGCCTTGAGCATATTTCACCCTCTCTGATTCTTAGTTTCCTCATCCATTAAATGGAATAACACCAACTATCTCATAATGAGGGCTGAATCCTTCACTAAAACTTGCTTCATTAAGTTCTTGCAATCATGTAAGGGATCACATATATGAGGGTCTAGTATATGTTTGGCATATAACCTAGACTGCCAAGATGCTGTCCGAATTTAAATTTAAGAATTTCATTAAATAATTTGACATCTTGAAACAGGATTCACAAATAAAAGAAATCTACACTTTAAAATAATTTAATTGAAATCAACCTATAAAACAGGTAAAATAAATCAGCAGTCCTTTTCCTGTTAAAATTATTTAGAACCACTTCTTCATTGGCAGATCTATGACTTTCAAACTTTCTTTATGCTACCTAGATAAAATCCCACTATGCACAATCAAATATTGCCTTCTGTTGTTGTTTTTAAGCTATTCCATAGGTGTCTTTTTTAATAACTCTATTAGGTAGCAGCAAATTTAGAGGAAGTCTCTGTTCAGAGTACTAACACCTGAATTCCTGGACCTCATTTATTTTCCCTCTTTCCTCGTATATGCTCTACATTTATAAAGAGTAATAACATAAGTGAATATAAACTTGGGAAAAGATAAAGTCTGAACATTATGGCAAATAAAGGCAAAACTGCATGCTTCCTCAAAAATAAGAGTTTTAGATTCTAAGAGTTTAACATGGTCTGTTATACAAATATCAGATTTGGTACCTTTCTTTTGATTTGATAAAATGCACAAAACAAGTATTTAATCATGCAATATGTTGTCAAGCTCCATGCTTGGCACTATGGATACAAAACTAAATAAGATACTTACCTGTCTGAGGAGGGCTCAAAATACATCCAATAAATAAATTTCAATGCAATATAGTAAAATAAAGTAAGCGCAAAAGTGTTCTAAAAGCAGAAATGACAGGAACTAATTCTGCCCAGAAGAATTAAAAAGACCTCAAAATAAGATATTTCAGCAGGCTCTTCAGAGTGTTTAAGACTTATAAATGGCTTTTTTAGTTTTATTTTTATATTTTTCATTGAATTTATTGGGGTGACACAGGTTAATAAAATTATATAGGTTTCAGGTGTACAATTCTATAGTATATCATCTATATAGTATATTGTATTTTGGCTTTTTAAAAAAACTGGCATATTGGTAAAACTCTGAATCACGCACAGTAAGAATTCATAAATAACCTTATTTACCGATTATTACTCTAAGGCAGGGATGGGGAATGTCCGGACCGCAGGCCATACAAGGCCTTTGAAATCATTTGATCTGGCCCTGCCAAGGCAACCATAGGCAGGGTTTGAAATTCAATAAATCTAGGAGCTTTTTTCATAGCTAATTTTTAAGTTGATAATTTTGTATGGCCCCAGAATGATGTTATAAATATTCAAATGGCCCTTGGCAGAAAAAAGTTTCCCCACCCCAGCTCTAAGGCAATCAGAGACTAATCATCTTACAATTAAGTCCAGCAGAGTTGACAAACAAGTAATTTAATTACCAGCAGTATGCTTCCTTGGTGTAGTCCGAACAGAGTATTCAAAGTCAGGTACCGCTCTGCTACTCAAGTGAAGGTGGTAATTTCTTGCTTCATCCAATAAATCTCTACATTTTAGATTTTGCTTGACAATCTGTTCTTTTGCCACAACACCCATAAGAAAATCCACTGGCAAAAGCGGCAAACGAACCTAAGATCATAAATAGATGCGGGTATAAAATTTAAGTTGTAACTGAATAGCTCAGCATATTACCTTTTTAAAACTCACTCACTTCATAAAGACTTAAGTACAATGTGCCAAGTTCTAAAGCAATTTCCAGTACTGGTCCGTACTAATGAAATCAGATTATATGCTAAATATATCCTCCCTGTTTAAATACAGGTTTAAGTAAACTAAATAAAGTAATTCAGTTGTCTTCATCCAAGTTTCTTCCTTCCAAAATAGTTGTCATGTAGAAGGCCCCTTGCTGCTTTATTATTCTGCCCCTTAAAGCTAAGACTGAACATATGAAATTCGATTTTCTTCTGAAACACAAACATTCAGATCTGAAACAAGGAGGTGTTGTTTTCTTCAAATCAATCACCTAGGAAGATTACATACTAACTCAAGGATGCATCCCCTCTTCTAGGAGAGACACTCGCCTTTCCTCTCTTAAAAGAAGCATTGATTTTCTAGTGGGTTAACAGGATTATCAAACCAGGTAATACAATTTTGAGTTAAAAGCATGCACACACACGTACAAAAATAAGATATAGCTGCCAGATAATGAAACTTTTTGTTTGCTTTTGTTGAAACTTATTTTCAAAGTAATTCTAAGGCCTATTTATTATCTTCCTATCTAAGTAATGCCAGTTGAAAGTAAAAATAAATGATTAAAATAGAGATACATTTTTGAGATTTAAAAAATAAAACTGTGGTGAGGGAAGAAAACAGGAAGTGATATCTGGTAGTTCTTTCCAGAACAAATCTATATGCATTAGGAATAAATGTACTTTCATCAGGAAAGTAATTCAGTAAAATTTAGAAACTTCATTAAAAACAATAGTTATAAATTAATTTTGAGCTGTCTCCTCGGAACCATTTTCTACTAGCATAAATGAAATATTCATTACTACTCTCTCAAAGGGACATTTTAAATTAGTTTAAAAAGCAGGGAATGATAGTTCTAATTCAAATGTAACGAATTCAAACCTATCCTTAAGTACTAAAGTGAGTAAATAGGAAAGTAAGAGTCAAAGCCATTTTCACATCATATTACCTCAGTTGATAATTTACACCTTTCATGACAAATGCAACATGTTGATTTGCTTCCATATGGTTCATTTCTATACACAATCTTATTTCAGTCCCTACCTGTGCAAGTGTTTCATCCAACCATTTGGAATGATGCTGAGGATTGGCAAGAAGCCACTTGATGGCTGCATTATAGACCTGTTTTTCATTTTCAATATTTAGATCACTGGAAGACAAAAGTTTATGGAGATGCTGGGGTGACACACTTACAAAGTCTTCACACTCCACTACTTCAGTAAAATGCTCACAGGTATACTGATCCGCCATGTCCATTAAGTCTATTCGATTGTGACTTTCGGCAAAAGCTCTTACTGCCAAACAATTGGAGGGATGAAAATGTAACTTCATGTATTCACAACAAGCTCTGGCCACCAGTTCAACCTGCAGAATACAGGCCGCATATAAGAGAGGCTGGACGTTGTCAACAGTCAGAGTGAGACGTGAAGAGTACACAAACTTGACCAGGTCTTCTATTGCATCACCGTCAAAATCTCTGATCTCAATCACTGCCTGCTTGGCTTCAGCCATTTCAGAGAGAAACATGGCCCTGAAGTAGGGAATAACACAAGCCAATGCCAGTTTGTGACAAGAGATTAACTTTGAGCCAACCTGTTAAAAACCAACAGAAAGGGATTCAGTCTAATATCACAATTAGTTTTAGATCAGCATCAAGCATGTGCTACAGCAGGGACAATAACTCCAGACAAATTTAGTATATTTGTTTTAACAACGTAATCCTTTGGTCACTTACTTTTAATTTAGGCCAATTTCTTAAAATCAGGTAACTTTCTTCTTCCAAATTAGCCACTGAAATTTTTACATGTATCTATGCATATATAATGTATATATAACAAACTATGACACATAACACTGTTAAGTTTAAGGTATACAATATGATTTGATATATGTAATGATTATGAAGTGATTACCAAAAGTTTAGTAAACATCCATTGCCTCACATAATGACATTTTTTCCCCTTATGATGAGACGATCTTAGCCACTTTCAAATATACCATCCAGTATTATTAACTATAGTCATGTCAAGCACTGTTCTAAGTACTTTTCATATATTAACAAGTTGTCCCAATGCCCTATGATTATGTACTATTATTATCCACAATTTCTCAGTGAGGAAATTGAGGCACAGAGTAAATAAATCAGTATTTAGCAGTATTTATTCTGACTTAACTGAGGTTAAATTAGAATTAAGAAACCAATCCAATAACAGACCTAATAAAACATTAAGTTATAATTCTTTCTAATGAATAGGAAGAGAATATACCATAGGAGAATTATATAACACTCTTGGACACCAATAGTAGTACACATAATGATCCTAATAGCTGATATGTACTGATTATTAGGTGGCAAGACTTGTCACAAAGATTCTACACATCTCAATTCTCTTATTCCTCACAAAAATCTAATCATTATCATTCTTTTACAGTTGAAGAAAATGATAGTCCCTTTACATTAGCGAAATTTCTCATTCCTAAATGACCTCTGTTACTGCTTCGAACAGTATTTTAATCTCCCACCACAAATCCTTCTGAAGTTTTATTTCAACCTACTGCTGAAGTTACCCAATAAACAAATAAAAGTTATGACTTTAGTTATCACTTGCCCTAAAATGGATGTATCCTTATTTTTCATTTAACAAAGTTAATATGCAATAGCTTGCAAAAATTATTCTAAAATCTAATTGGGTGGTGGAGGGTAAAGGGGGCCAAATATATGGTGACAGACGATGTTTTGACTTTAGATGCTGGTGACACGGTGCAGTGCATAGATCACGTATCATAGAGATATACACTTGTAGCCTATATGATCCTATTAACCAATGTCACCCCAATAAATTTAACTTAAAAACTTTTTAAAATAAATGGCTACACAGTAAATAACAAAGTCTACATAAACAAAATCTACATAAACAAAATCTAATTAAAAATTTATAAAATCAGTAATATTATATTTAATTATTTTCCATCCATATATTGATATGCTGACTTGATAACTGATTAAATTAAAATAATCTATTTTATACTTTTTGTTTTTGCCAAAGCCAGCGTAGGTCACTGAATAATAACATACTAAGATTAAAAATCAGAACAATTGTGTGGGATTAAAACATAATACAGCGTATGGATCAAAGTGTTCCTTCATTAAAATAAACGCATTGCGCCCTGGCCACTGTGGCCCGTTGTGACAAAGAGGTCTCTGGTCCAATTCCAGGTGAGGACATGCGCCTGGGGTGCCGGCTCAATCCACAGTAGGGAGCCTACAGGAGGCAGATCAATGTTTCTTCTCAATGTTGTTCTCTCTCTCTCTCAGAATCAATAGAAACATTTATTTATATATACATATATAT